ATCCAGTACCAAAGATGGTAAAATCCCAGAACCAGAAGGGCTCAAAACCCAGAGCCACTCAGTCTTGCTAGGGTTCAATTGAAGCCTGTTGTTCCCCATCCAGATCCCCACACCCTCCAGACACTGAGATAGGACACCCACAGCATCACTTAAGTTGCCAGAGCGGAGATGTACAATTGAGTATCATCAGCATACTGAAGATACCTCATCCCATGGCGAAGGATGAGCTCACCCAGTAGTCTCATATAGGTCTTAACTATGGGTCATCCGTAAACCGGGTGTTCTTAACCTGGGGACTACCTGTACTCAATAGAATCTGATGTTAGGGACATTTGTTCACTTTAGTAGACATACAGTATGCATGTCAAAATCAAAACTAACAGTTATAGCACTATCCTAATTAATACTGTAACCATATTATTCATTTTTCATACAAAAATAAAATACTTGGCTTGATGTGGGAATACTAAGTCGAGGACTACCTGTACTGTACATATACAGGTATGTCTAAGTCTGGTAACTTAGTCTATGCCTTCTCTGTCTTACTAAAAGCTTATGTGAAAGCCATGATAGGTGGCAGTGAAGAGAGTACAGCAAAAGTGATGGCCATTCAGAAAATGAATAAGAATACTAGTTGATTAGTATCTGCTCAGAAAAAGGTCTGTTTGAATATGTGGGTTAAACCTAATATATACATTCAGATGGCAAAGAAATGTAAAAGCATGGTTATTTTATTGTTCATTACTGTATATTAAAGGCTGAAACTAATGTAGTATACAAAGATGAGGAGAGGTTCTGAATGTGGGACAGACTGTTTTTTTAGAAGTGTCAAGAATGAACTCTGGGGGAAATGGATATACAAATAAAAAAGTGAAAAAAAAATCCTAAAGTAAAAGTAAAATGACTGCAGGAAGAGAAGAGTATTAGAAAACAGGTTAATTCCCCAACAGAATTAAAGGAAAGTAAGGAAAGGAAATAAACATGTAAGGAAAAAGATATAAACATTACTTGTATCTAAGTAAAAAGCATTATTTTGCAGGGTGCTACAGAAGTATGTGGAATTGTACTACTAGGAAGTATGAAAAATGATGCTTGGTGGAATGGTGAAGGATCAGGATGTGGATGAAAAATGCATATAAGATAATGATTACTGCAGAAAAATGAGGAAGAAAAATGAAGAAAGATGAGAAAGATACTATATAATGTATAAAGAAAAAAGGCAATTGCATGAAAAATGTGAGAATAAAATCAAAGAGAACAAGAAACAGTTAAGATTAAAGTAGCAGAGAAAATGCAAAGTGATTTTTATGGAAAGAAAATTTGTTCTGCAGGTGGATAAAAAGAGCTAAACAATGAGCATCCTTAAGAAGGAATTCGATGAAATTACTTTGAATGAATTAAAGAGAAAGGTAGCAACAATGAATGCAAAAACTGCAGTTGTGTGGTCTTAAAGGTACCTGGGAAGGTGCCTGGCAGAATCTGGACTGAAATGGTAGTAATAGAGCAAAATTTAAGAATTGCAGTGAGACCTGATATTGGGCAAGGGGTATGACCAGATTTTTGCTCTTCAGAAGGTCACTGACAAAGGTATGAATGAAAGTTTAAGTTTTATGATATAAAGAAAGCATATGACTTATGAAATTGTGTGAATATGGAATTGAACATTTGTGCTCAATGAAGTACGAATGGTATATGATGGAAGTAAAGGATGCACAAGAATGGAATTCTGCTTAACACTGCAAGGAATAAGACAAGAATATCCCCTGATTTTTAACATTTACAGATGAATGTGAATGGAGCAGAGAAAGAAGACCAAAGAAGTTGTGGTTTGATAAAATTATAAAAATCCTCAAAAGAGAGATGTGAGAAGATTAAAGAAAATAAAGCAAAGCATGGACATGGGAGAAGCAAAGATAAAAAAGTACAGAAAGGTATGAACAAATGGTAATGGTAGAAACTAGACTGAACTATATTTCCTTTTCTTACCTCCTATCTTATTTCTTTGGCTTATTATTATTATTATTATTATTATTATTATTATTATTATTATCATTGACACTGTATAATTCTGCTTATTCAAAAAAGGAATAAGATAGCTATGCATATGTGTGTGTGTGTACAAACATTAATCATCTCCAATTTACTAATATTTCTTTAGAGATGAAAGACAGAACACCTGCTTTAATAAGTTTTATAAATATTTGCTTTATGTTCCATACAAATATATTTATATTTAATAAGCAAGTCTCAATGTATGTATAGTACTTTGACAGAATTTGACAGAAAGAATCTCTTCTTTCTATTCAGATCAACCAATATAAAATTAACAGTTAATATAGTGGTGAAAAAGAAATAAAATCAAACCTTCCCTGTCTTTTTAGTAAAGGACTACCCAGCAAGAGTTGTATGAAATCATATTGTCCTTTGACATCTTTGTAATTTGCCCAACATACTACTCCAACTATCTATTATTGTACAGTGTTCTATGAACACTTTCCTACTCTCTGAACATCCCAGGTATTCTCTTTAATGTTCTAACTTACATGGGAATTGATTACAAAACACTTTATTCTGTTTTCTCCAAACAAGCCAGTTAATTCAAAACCAATATTCCAATAAAGAGCTTTATGGATCAATTCATAAATACACAGTTCGAAATATGGAGGTAGTCACTGAACCATTAGGAGTTGCTTCGGAGTGTATTCTAATAGTTCAGTATATACTTCCTATATAAATTTGTTTAATCATCTGATTACCCAGGTATTGCAAAGACTTTCCTGTTATTTTTCTTTTCTCCAAAAAGTCTTGAGAGGCAGAAGGATGGAGAAGAAATTCTTTAATCTTTGTATTCTAATTACTTTTTACCTAGCAATTATGTTACTAACGTATAAATTTTGTAAAAAAAAAAACAAAAACCCACACAGACACCCTCTCCAACAGAAAACATTTCCTTCAATTATAAGCTTTAAGTCAGTGTGATAAGTACAAATAAAAATCATTTTCATGTTATCAGTTCATTTAAAACATATCAGTCATATCAATCTACATTTCATTGTAAAGAAAGCTATAGCAGACACCTGATCTTGCAAGAATGTACTAGAATTAGAAACCCATTTCTAAAAGAGTAATATTTTAGAGAAGGATATAGTAAGGAAAAAAGGGTGAATTTGGAAGTTGCACTCACCAGTACAGTCTCCATTTGCATCCTGCTTATATCCCATATTGCATTCGCACCGGTAACTGGAAATAGTTGGGATGCAGCGCCCATTTAAGCATAAATTTGGATGATGCTTACAGATATCTATTGTCTGATTGAGTATTGCTATGGAAAAATGTGGGTACTATTAGAAGTTTGGACTGCTACCTCTAAAGTTTTTTTTTTTTTTTAAAAGAGGACCTTTATTTTAACATTAAATAAAAAATATTGTATTATTAGGTGAAGTTAAGGTAATCTCAAGTCACCAGCACTTTTTGACAGTCAAGGTGGTGGAATCTGTCTTAGAATGGAATGTAGGAAGATTCTGGAAACATTTCAAATTAGACTTGACCAGGCAATAAGGATTTCAGGTAGCTCAGCCAGGATAAGGGCTTGTTACTTATTTCAGGAGTTCTTTCTGATGGAAATAGGAATAGGTGAAATTTTCAATTGACACAGGAGGAAAAACAATATTTTTTGTCTATAAGCGTCGTAGTTCTGTCATTCAATATGCAGTTATATTATAGTACTGAACCTCTTCAGATTCTTACTGAAAACTTTAAGAAAGCTCTAGCAGCAAAGAGCTTCAGCACATATATTCTCTTATTTAAATTGTACAAAGATTTACATGCTTTTTAAAGAAGTTTTAGACAATGTACATGGCAGAAATATGGATTAGTCAACACTGTATTTCATATTTAAAAAGCCTACTTTTATATATTAAAAATGTTACATTTAAGATGGAATATATGTGTAAAATCATACAGCCTATATCTAACTTAAGAACTTTACCTATAAATGGCAATATTAAATTAGCACTAAGAGAAGCTATGTGCCACATCACATTTAATGTTTTATAGGAAATAAATAATACAATTTGACTTAAGTTATGGAATATTTCCATGCTCTAATCTAAGTTGTTAGAATAATGTACTGTCCACTCATGTTAATCTCCAGCATTCAAGTGGACAGAACATGGTGCATTGATATAATGTTATACTATACTTTATTTTTATACTTAACTATTTATTTAATTATTTATTTTAAAGTATGCTTAAATCAAGCTTCAAAATGAATCCTCAAGTTATTTTGTTAAAAATAATTAATCTTTATTGATTACCCGAGTATTGCTGGTTGGATTTAAAAGATAAGGGGAAAAAACCAGAATAATTCCTGCTCAATTCAGTTTATATTGTTTCAATGTTTCCACTTCTTCCTCTTTCTTCAGTAATGACAGAAAGGACCAGTTGAGAAGGTCAACAGGGAGCTGCTGCCATCATTACCAAATCTAATAGCAAGTCCTATTATAGACATCACCTTCCTGCCTCTGTGCCAGCCAGCAAAAAAGAACTCATAATCTTGACAGAAAAAAGCCTAACTTTAGTGTCTTGGATGCTAATAACTATTATTTATCTGTACAATTATTCATATCCCTCCTTCTCCTAAGATGTTAGATAGCTAACAATAAATTATGGGGACTTATTTTCCTCTTTCCTGTAGTTCAGTTTTTGCTTGGTTTCTTCCCTTAATTTTAGTAGAACTGCAATCTCTCTCACATAACACTGAGATTCATAGCTTTTCATTCCTTACATATACAAGAAGTGAAAATCTCATAGCTCATACCAGAAGTCTATATGAAACTGTGTTGGAATACAAACTTGGTTGTATCACAGTGAAAAAGCCTAGAGTTTTGGAAACGGAAATCAGGTTCCGGTGGCTTCCACCAGTGGGGGACAAGGGAGCAGTCAGACCGATGAAAGCAGCATCACAACATCGCAATGCAAGTGCTATCCCTGTTCTACATGTGTTATGATGTTGCCCAGATGCCCAAAAGAGGTACAGTTTTCACTGAGATACTTCTTTCATCATTCTGATGAAAGCAGCTAGATACTATGGATATCACAGCCAGGTTCTGTTCTCTGTCGGGGAAGAAAATGGAAAGAGATCCCATAGTGCATGAAAACATGGAAAGGCCAAATGTAGGTCAATTAATATTTTAATCAGAAATTAAATGGATAGAAATGATATGTATGTATGTATGTACAAAATGAATTAGAAATTTTACATAAATTTAATTAGTCACTGGATGTGGGTATAGGCTTAAAAATGTAAGGAGAATACAAATAATTTGATCAAGCATAAATATAAAATACTGCATGTTCAGTCTGCAAGATGGATATCATACTGAATGGCTCATAAGTGCATAAAAGCAATTGGAGTGTGCTGGTAATGTAAAACAACTTGGGAAACAATGGGCAGAACTGAGAAAAATCAAGTTTATATTGTCTGCAATGTTTCACTGAGAAAAATATAAAGCAGACATAGAAATAAACCCTACTAGTTTTAAGCATTAAGTAGGAAAGGATGTATAAAAATGTTTACCGGACAAGCCTTCAGTTCTATAATTATGCAATCAAGCAACTTACTCAGTCCCGTAATGATGGGGCCATTTCCTGTGGGACCTTGGCCACCAGTCCCTATTCCAGTTCCATGCACACTTGGTGAAAAGCCATTTCCACCAGGAATAGGGATGAATCCTGTTCCTCCTGGACCAAACCCATTTCCATTTCCACCTGGAATGAAGCCATTTCCTCCTGTGCCCCCAGGCCTGGAACCACCTATAACAGGAATGCCATCTATGCAAAGTCCACGATATTCATCTATAAAAATTAAAACAACACAGAAACTTATAATCACATATTTTCCCAAAAGATGCAAACAGACATCAGTGCATTGATTTGAAAAACAGCATTTCACTATAAGATTTACTACTCTTCATATATAAAAATGAGTGACTATTGAGTAGATCAACTGGTATAAAATTACTATAAACGTTATTAGTTCAAAATTTAGTTCCAGTTAGTTAAATGATAAATATTGGCAATAATTGTGAACATTTAAGTGTTAGATAAAATTTAAGTCACCTCCAAGATAATCATATTCTAAGACAACATTTCTCAAGAAATGATTGTAGGCTTTCGATAAGCAAAATATTCTTCTAATCAAAGTAAATGGAACAACCAAGGGAAGCAATCAGAGCCCGAGCATAAAGGAATGCAGATAAGAGAGGCAACATTAGAACAAAGAATAATTCTGCATTGTTTCCCAAATTGATATTCTCCATTCAGCCACTACAAATGCTATTGTCCTACTCAGCAAGTCAATGGGTTACTAGCTGAAGATGTTGAAGTTGTAATTCAATCATTTTAAGGGAAAAGAGGGACTTCTGTATAGAACAACTCATACATATACAGTAGAATGTAGGAAATTATTATTTTTCTAATGCAAACAAGCAGTTCATAAAAATAACAAAATTTTCTTGCTGATTATGTTTTGTTTCTGTATGTAACCTCATCCTCCAAAGCTCCCACTGAATGAAGACATAAAAATTTGTCATCTACTCAGTCAGTTTAACAATGTAATGAAATGAAAGCTGTTTCATTAAATCCAGATGAATAATCATTCCTCCAAATAAATTTGATTTGAAGAAATGTTTCTAATAATAATAGGAAAAACTGGCTCAAACCAGAGGTAGTGGGGTATAAATGGATAAATACTTAAACTAAACAAAACTTTTTCATTGTTTCAGGATTGACGTTAAAATGAGTTTAACAATATTCCAACAATTTTAACAAGCTCAGAAATTTACCAGAGCCTCTAACAGGACACATTTCGGGGATGGATCCAAGAGCCCAACACCGCCCAGATTCACAGCAGCACTGCATCTTGGTAAACCTGCCCAGAAGCTCTTGTGCACAGCGACCATTCAGCAGACTGGAGAAACAAGTGCCTGCTCTTTGATCTGTATATTAATTTTAAAAAATCACTCATGGAGCACTTAGTAAAAACTTTTCTTTAACCATTATAAATACAAATATAATCAGTGAAACAGGCAATACTTTACTCTGCACCTTGTGACTGCCACTACTGTGAACATAGCTAAGAATGCATGGGAAGGCCACAGACCAAAAAGAAAAGACAAAGCATGGGTAGAGATTTACATCTGTCCCACGAATCAAGCAACTTGCTTTTGCCACACTTAGTCACTGCTTAAGACTTTTCCTTCTTCTCTGCAACTAACAGTGGAAGGAAGAAATGATTTATTTACTTAGTTACAGAACTTATAACTATAGCACTTATATGGCTGCCCACTTTCAGCAAAGTGACTCTGAATGACATAGAAAAGAACCACCCTTTCAAAAGAGAAGACTTGGATTTCTTCTTCTCTTTAGCCCCCATACTGTCTGTTATCATGGACACTTGATTACATTCTCTGAATTTTTGCCTTCTGTACCAAAAAGTCCACCAAGTTATACTGGAGCTACTAACTGAGACCTGGCATACCTACTGCTGAAGTAGTTTTCTGATACAGGGTCAGAAGAGTACAGAATTATCTCTTATAAAGAAAGGTGGGGAAAAAAGACAAGTGTATAAAACCATAATGTTTCCTTTTTTATAAGGCAAAAATAATTGGGAATGCCACACTGCATACCATCTGATATCAGAAGATCTTGTTTTCTGGAGTTAATCAATCTTTTTGACAGATTTCAAATTAAGCAAATTTTTCTCTAGCTTTGTATGAACAAATACATAAGCTGTTATTATTTCACCATTCCAAAACAAATGTCAAAATATTAATCAAAAATTAATATGAGGTTTAGTGAAAACCAATGACTTTCATTTTGAAAATTCTGTAGAATCTCAATCAATACATTATATATAAAATATGTTATTTTATAGGAGGCTCCAAATAATTTGTAAACAATAAATTTCTAAAGTGTTAAAAGAGAAAATGTCTGTAAAACTGTAAAGCAATACCTGTAAGTTCTGTATTCTAGTCAATGCTTATGGATCACAACTACATTACATATGGACACATCAGGAAAAGTAACCTTAGTTGCAGAATAGGCAAAGATTAGAAAGTTAATCCAGAGACTAGTAACTTTAATGAAAGATCTGTAGAAAGAAGGGTAAAAATTGCTACTTTTTGGAATGGTAGCTTACCAATGCAACGAGAGCCATCTGTGGATGTCACAAAGCCACGTGGACAAAGACAAATATAACTTCCCACAGTGTTGGAACATTCACCAGCATCACATATTCTTGGAATGAGGCTGCATTCATTAATATCTAGAGATAGAAACAAATGAAGAATATATTTATATGCTTCTCCACAAAATGAAATCATTTTTAAGATAGGTTTAATATGTTATTATATATGATATCACTTATGGTACTATCGTAGGCTCTATCTGTGCAAGCTCGAATTCTGATTATTTGGTATATATCCACAAATATTGAAATTTACTGCACTTCTATATCAGATTTACAGAAATAATATTAGCAAGCATATTTAAAAAGTTAGCAAGTAATGGAGCATACTTTATAGAGTATAGGAAATCCTATGCAATTTGTTGTCTGCAACTGAAACCAAATTTCATTACGCTATAGAAAATTTATACAAGATAAAGCTAAACTGTGGGGCGGAGGTCAGACACTTTAATGTGAAAAAGGATATTGTAAATCTAATTTACAAAAAATGCATCTTATCTATGATAAAAATCTACACTGATACAAAAGATCTCTAGAAGCATGGCGGGGGGGAAGGCCTAACTGCAATACTATTACAATGTGAAAATATATAGTCGTGTGAAAAAGAAAGTACACCCTCTTTGAGTTCTATGGTTTTACATATCAGGGCATAATAAAAATCATCTGGTCCTTAGCAGTTCTCAAAAATTGGTAAATTCAACCTCAGATGAACAACAACACATGACC